TAAACTTCCCTGCCAAAAATTCAGGAGGATTTAATTCCTAAATTTTCCCTATAGACTCCCATTAATTTCTTCATATTATTTCTTACAGCTGGAATTCTAGATACGAATCCTTTTTCGCTAAAATTTCCAATCTCTGAAAAGAGTCTGAATCGTTTCACTTTTCAGGTCTAATTTCGCTGCTTTTACTCCAGAATGCTGACTCTGATCAATTCCAGTTCAGAAACCTCGTCTTTAAAATTCGTTTGAATTTTTTCAGCGCATTTTTTCGAAATGTCAGTTGGATTCCTGGTATCTATACTCTCCTCTCTGAAGTATCCACGTTTATTTCTGATGGATGGAAGGTGAGGGACCAGGGGAGAGCTCCACTCTGCAGGGGTGACACAAGGTGGGAGGTGAAGCCTTATAGGGGGTGCGAGCAGAGTTAGTGGGTTGCCTTAGTCTGGGGTTGGTGGGGGAGTTACTCACACCAGCGGGGGCAGATCAGGGTAAATGGTGGGCAGAGGCATACTTTGGGAGGGAACTGTATGCCTTTCTGGGACAAGGGGGGGGAGGGGAACGTGGGACTGTCACAAGTTGGGGCTGTGATGGGTTGCCTGTAGTCTGTGTAATCTGTTTCTGCGGAGGCAGCGTTGAACAGGGTGGAAAGGAGGGGAGGGGGGAGACTAATCGTAGGATAACATCATCATCATTCATGTTATGTCATGCCTATTAGTGTTCTGCAATTCTGGACGGCATCTGGCATTCTCCCTTATTTGGGATAAAGGATTTCAGAGATGATCGAATCTGGACCGATATCTGCAGAGTTGCCTTGTTCTGTGCCCCTGGTTAGCCGATGCCAGAACGATGCTGGCCGGAGCTGGGGCGGTGCCCTGTAACCTGCATTGGCGGGAGCGTGAGGCCTTGTAGAGAGATCTGGGGATCTGCTGAGGGAGGAAAGCAATCCAGTGGCGAACCGGGGGGGCTGCCTTGACAACCCTATGGGGCCAGGGATAGTATAGGTGGCGAGAACAGGTCAGCTATGGTTGACATTGGTGAGGAGGGCATTGTCTCTGAGATGTAATGTCTTGGTACAGGGAGGGCTAGGAGGGGTTCTAGGATTAGGAGGCCAGAACTGCTGATATGACATAGTCTCTGTAGTTTTCTATATTTTTCACATACTAATTATCATAAGCATCATCATCAAAATCAGCATCAGCATCATCATCATCATCAGTTATATTTAGCTTTCTGGTGTTCTGGTTTTCTTGGCAGAATCTAGCCTTCTTCTACATCTGGGAGACAGGAATTCAGAGATGGTCGAACCTGGACTGATATCTGCAGAGTTGCTCTGTTCTGTGCCCCTGGTTGACCGATGCCAGAACGACGCTGGCTGGAGCTGGGGCGCTGCCCTGTAACCTGCAAATGGCAGGAGCGTGAGGCCTTGTAGAGAGATCTTGGGTTTGCCGAGGGAGGAAGGCAATCCAGTGGCGAACTTGGGGGGGCTGCTACGTGGCGAGAAGAGATCAGCTATGGGGGATGTAGTTTAGGTTGGTTTTGTCTCTGAGTTACAATGTCCTGGTACAGGGAAGACTAGGAGTTGGTATAGGATTAGGAGGCCAGAATTGCTGATATAGCACATGCTTCTATAATCTTTATAGATACTAATCATCATCATCATTAGCATCATCCAGGATCATCATCATCACCATATGAGGGATGCTGAGCCCGGTTCTCAGCAAGTTTGGTTCGGTTACTCCGGGCAGACTGTGAGGACCCCGGCCTCAACCCACAATCTTCTTATTGGTAATACCAGCCTTGGGCACTGGGCCCGTTTAAAAAAAAAAAAAAAAAAAAAAAAAAAAGAAGAAGGAAGACGAGGAAGTGGAGGACAGGTTTGAGGAGAAGGACAAGTGTACATGGCGTGAAGTGTCTTATCTGTGCGTTTAACATTCAAATTGGACTGCGCTACGTTGGCTGTGGGGTAGGCAGAGAAGATGCCCACCCCGTCGAGGGCCAGATGGCCAAACAAGTGTGCCGGTACCTACAGTCCACGGCCACGCCCATATTGCAAAGTTGGCTGTCGCCGGCTCTGGGGCATATGCACAATTTACTAATTTAGTGCCATTTTGGCATATCCCTGTGTTTTGGGGTTGTGTGTGGAGATACCCAAACTTCGAGAAGCATTTCAACAACTTGCTCAATTAAATATTGCCTTTCTTTTGGAAGCCCCATTTCGTTAACATTCACAAAAATGTCAGTCTTAACTTTTAACTAAACGGCTGCTGGCGGAAGGCATGAATCAGATCAAGAATCAATACTGGATTACCTCAAATGTCTGTCAAAACCAGGAAAATCTCTTACACTGTTACATACACAATATTTTTTGGAGTAAAAGTTCCACTCAGTGCGTACGTTGATCAGGGGAGAGACCACTCAGTTAGACACACCTCAGTTAGACACACCTCAGTTAGCTTCCTCTTCTCCACAATTAGGAGGTCTCGGCTAATTGTGGAGAAGAGGAAGCTACAGCTACAGAGCGATCGCTTTTCCACAAACTATAAAAGCAAGCCAGTGAAAGCAGAGGCCCTCCAAAGGCAGATTGCACACAGGTCCCTTCCTACAAGAGAATGGTTGATTCACACCTCGAACAGAAAGGCGTCTTACTACCGTCTTCACCCGAATAGAACGCCCGGTCATTATAACCGTATGTTGTGCACTTTTCAGTCCAGATACAGCTATAATAACCGGGCGTTCTATTCGCATGAAGAAGGTAGTCCCCTGTTGCAAATGCAGCCCAGTTTGCCATGGGATTGGAGGCCATAGTATTGGTTGGCACACTGCCTGGAGCACAGAGGATGAGCGGGGTTGGCTGATTGGTTTCAGCTGGCCAGGAAGGCAGTACTGTGGGGTGCTGAACTGTAAGGTGCGATTACAAATGTGAGGATGCTGCCGCGTCCAGGAGTGTATGAGAAAATCATTCATTCAAACCAACATCCAGATGGAATGGAAACTAAATTAATGCTAGACAAAATCATTCATTCAAACCAACATCCAGATGGAATGGAAACTAAATGAATGATAGACAAAAACAATTGGCTAATACAAAACGCATACACCGGCAATAATATTCGAGCAACCCCAAAGACAAGGAGGTGACAGGCATAGCCGCGGCGGGCAGCTGCTTGGCAAGATTAAAGAATTGGAAACAGAATGCGTGATCAACCCATGGTCCCAGAGAATAGGCTGATTGCATAGATTAAAGGGGATGTATCACTGGAGCAAGGGGTCACCTGCTTTTTTCTGACTGGACATCCATTAAGAATGATTTGAATTGATTTCCCATTGAGACCTGCGCTGGAATTTGGGCCCGGTTCCCAGCACGTGTTGCTCCCCACGAATAGACTGGAGCATTTGTCCCCCCCCCCCCCCCCCCCCCAAAAAAAAAAAAAAAAAAAAAAAAAAAGGAATTTGCTGATCACTTCAACCCTACTGATAATTGTTTGGTGAACCTGGCTTAATATGGCAGTGGACGAGGGTCTGAAAGATCTGCCGGGTGTTCAGTTCTTCTGGTGGCCTTTGTAAGGCTGAAGAGGTTGATTTTTTTGGTTCTCACTTACCCCACACTGCCCACAGGCAGTCATTCCCCTGTGAATTGCAGGGTAATCAATGTTGTCCTGGTCTTGTCTTTCTTACTAGCCAGTCTATCTTGCGTAAAAACCACCCACTCACACACACACACACACACACACACACACACATATTAATATTAATATTTTGAAGTTCGCTGCTGACTGTTGTAGCTGGGGTTTGAACCCACGCACAGATTTGAGAAACCCAACTGCCTGATGAGATAATTGTTGAGGCAGATTGGGTCCCTGTGTGATTTTGGGGACCGGATTTTGAATTCTGTACTTTCGGACACTGGGCCCCTGTTTGTCAGCACATGCTGCTCCCCATGAATACATTGGAGCCTTGTAAGCGGTGAACCCTCAACCTTCCAGGGGAAACTCTGACAGCGGAAGAACACCAGGATGCTTCAGAAACAAAAAGGAAAAGGAAAAAGAATCTGATTGACTACGGTAGCCATTCCATGTATCCCAACTGCAAAAAAAAGGCAAAAAAGAAGACAAAGATGTATCCTAACTGCCCTCTGAGGCGTACGTTGAGCAGGCGTGGGGTAGGAAGAAGGAAGACTGACTTACCTTTGCTGACTCACCTTCGCTGATTGACACCTGGCAATCGCCACCAACCAATCACAATTGGTGACTATCAACTGGGCACGTGCTCAGCATCCGTTTACCAAGTGAAATCCCTCAGAACATACTCAGACAAGGATTATCCTTCTGGATGACATTGTATGCAACACTTATTACGGCCAGACGACTATATAAAAAAGGTACACAAAGTGTATTTCCTACTGCACAACAATGCCATCCGTCTGGCTTCCTTTGCTGACTGCTGTCTATAGTAAGTAGACTAAACATCTCCAGGACTGTCTTCTTGTCCCCTTCGTGTGGCTGTATCCGTGCCCATCACCTGGTACCTGTCTTCGTTCAGTCTACTTTCTACCTACTGTCTACTTTACCATCAGTTGTCCTTCTTCTTGTTTCCCCTTCCTGCTTCCATGTCACTGACAGTCACCCATCTATCTTTCTATACACAGTGCATCTGCTTGCCGATATTTACTGGCTGCTATTTGCAGTCTGCTGATTGTCATGATCTTGCCTTCTGCAGATCTTCTGCCACATGTCGTCGTCTTGCTCGTCTCTGCCACCAGCCTTCTGCTGAACCTCTGTCTTCTCAGCTGACTTGTATGTTTCTTCTGCTTTCTGCTGTGAGCAATGCCGTACAGGTAAGCAGCTGTCACCCATTGACTGACTGTCAGTCGTCGACCACCCGAGACACACACACGGAAGACCTTGCGCACTTAGAAAGTTGAAGGATCTATGGCTGATTATGCCTTATGCTAGGTGAGCTCCTCCTCCTTCTCCTTCTCCTCCTCAGCATCCTCATCTGCTGTTGGCACCACATCTGGAGGTTCATACCTGCAACACATCTTATCCAATCAATAGAGATGACCCACTCCCCCGTTCTCTTCCGCGTCCCCCAGTCACCCTGCAACCACTCTTCACACCCAAGCACAAAAAGCATGCAACTACAAAAATGAGATCTTTCAAAATTCTTTGAAAAAAAGAACAATCAAACAAAGCAAAAAAGAAAAAGAAAAGGCAAACAAAACAAAACAAAACAAAACAGCCCAAGCGGGCTAGCTCAGTTGGTTGAGCACGTAAGTGGCACTCAGCAGATCGTGGGTTCGATACCCAACGTCGTCCTTTGGATCCGCGTGGTCTCCTGGGGGTATGCTTCGGGTTCAACAGCGGAGACTGTTGGCTTGGGCCTCCCGACTGGCGGTGGAAGTAATCAAGTCTTTCCAGCCCACATAGGGTGTTCGGAGCTTGGGTACTGCACCCCTGCACAGAGCAGAGACAGGTAGGTGTAAACCCATAACCTTAGGATAGCTTACTTCTGCCCAGTAAATTTGAGCCTCGTCCCGATTTCCATAGGCAGTGTCTGTTAGCTTGGTAAGGGCTTGCGGGTAAGGTATGGATACGGGTAGCTAGGGGAAGGCAAGAGAGAAGAAAGTAGGGTAGGTTAAAAATACAACTGTCCCCCATATGAGGGGCTTCCTCGGCATGCTTGGCGCCCGCGATGTAGAGATAGACCACTGGATCCGCCAATTGGCATTGAGCAGAGTCTGCTGATGTTCGTAGGAGAGGGGACCTGAGGGGAGGCACAGGGATTGGTCCTGTTGGCATGGTCCCTGATGCTACCGGCTGTCCCCTGGCAGGTCAGGAGCAGCCCCGCATGTTCTCGCGTGAACACGGTTCTGGCTGCTAAGGGGTTCCCCGTATGAGTAGTGGTAGGCAGGTAGTGTGAGGTGAAATTGAGAGAAGGACGTAGCTTACTTAAAGAAGAAGAAGAAGAAGACAGTGCATAAAACTTGTCTCTATTTCACGTCCAACATGCATACACTCAGATGCCAGTGGCAAAACAACTTCCTCGAAGCAGAATTAACAACAAGCTTGAGATGGCGCAGTGCGCCTACACAGAAAACTCGGAGATATGGCCTTCGGCAAGGAACTCAGCTCAAGACAATTTGTCACATCTTGCGGCTATGGTGCCTGAGCACCAGTCTGAAATTCACACCCGAACACTTACTGACTTCGAGAGGTCAAGTTGACTCTTCGAGACCTGACCTAGCCATAACCTACTGACCCTTCAAAGGACGTATGGCCAGTTGACCTTTTGAAAGGTCAACAGTAAACTTGCCTTTTCGGGACACCTACTGTGGCATACTGCGGAGCCACACGGACCTGCAGGGCTCGACCATACGGAAATTCAGGGCCCTACAGGCCCTGTGTCATTTTCAGCCTAAAAGCCTGAAAACAAGGGCCTACAGGCCCTGTGTCGTTTCAGCCTGAAAGCCTGAAAACAAGGGCCTACAGGCCCTGTGTCGTTTCAGCCTGAAAGCCTGAAAACGAGGGCCTACAGGCCCTGTGTCGTTTCAGCCTAAGAAGGGCCCTCCAGGCCCTGAGTCTTTTCAGCCTGAAACGGAGGGCCATTTTCAGGCCCTCATAAGATCGACCTGCCCTGAAACTTACGCACCAGACCAGGGTTTTATCACAGGCCATTTTGGGCCTGTTTTCAAGACAACCTTGGTTTGAACTTCAACGCCAGGGTCTGGCATGTTTTGGAATTGGCAAGAGCAGCCTCCTGGACGGGCCAGCACTATATAAGACTAGCCCACCCTGCAGGCTGCAGTTAGTCACGAGGTAGTTCATAGGGACTTCCCAGGCACTTCACGTGCAAGAGGCAGGAGGCAGTCTTCAGGATTCGGCAGCAGCACTCTGGAGGAGCGCTGCAGTAGTAGTAGTAGCGTTAGCAGTAGTCTTCAGCGCTGGGCGCTATCAGGAGCTAGAGTAGTGTTGGAGAGAGAGAGATGGTTGGCGGAGGCCAGGGAGACTTACATGTGGCACCATAGCTCCAGCTTCGTCTTTGATGTACCTACAACAAGGCGCCACCTTCACAGGTTAGTACTGGACTGAGAGAGAGAGAGGGAGAGAG